ATAACGTAAGAATCTGATTAGTCCCCCTCTAATAATTACTTTTGTACTATTTTATTAGCCACATAATGCTAATAAAATTCCAATCACGTTCAACGTAAACTGTACATGGCTGATATGAAATAAGAAAATATTTTTTCAAACTATCAACAGAATAAAAATTGAAATAACTATAGCAGTACATCAAGTAATACTGATGTACTAAATAGTGCATCATGAACGTAAGTCCATGTCCATAAATAACGTTTCAAGCCTGCAACGGCCTGAAAGCAATGAAAGCAAGCCGTGAAAGCAATATACAAACATACACAAAGTATGTTTGTGTATTGCTTTCACTCTCACTCGCATTCCGTTAATTGAGAGCTCTGCCTCACTTGACAAGTCACCTCTTTCCTCCTGCCCATTTTCCGGCAGCAGACACAGTCTTTCCTTTCGCTCTCTTTTCACTTTTCAAATACCGAGCTCTCGATATTCCCGCTGTTCGACATCAGGCCCGAGGGCCATCGTGTACGCGGGCCGCAAGAGAAGGCCATCTTGCGTGAACGCAAGATAGGAATCTGCGCCGCACGGCCTCTGTAATGCGCACAACTTTGCTGGGTTGTACCACTTTTCTGCCGCCACACATTCAATGTGCCATAGAAGATCATCAACACGATCCTCGACATCGTTAGTATAAACGCGGCCTTTCATTAACCCCCAGCTCTAAAATCCTTCGGAGTACATGAGTTATAAAATTCAGAGACCTAGCGTCTCTTAAACGCTCGGGTACGAAATAAGGGCCAAGGATAAATTTATCCACAAGCCAGCCGACACATTTATAGAAAATTGTTCTTGATGAGCTACACAAAGTACAAAATGCGGATTTTCCTCGGTCCTCACATGCAAATTGTGCCAGTTCTTCTACAACATACTTCATCTCACTAAAGAACGAAATTACTGATTTTCTTTGCGTTTGCGCAAGAAATGCCCAGAGAATTGTAAACGACGTTATACGTGTCAGCTGCGCAAATGCTCTACCCGCTGGAAATGCTGCACTAATCGTTAGTTTCCTGTGTTTTTTTTTTCGTTTAACCGTTTCGGTTTTCGTTCAGGCGAATACCGGAGCAGTACTCTGACAAACGGACCACGGAATGCGCGCGATTTTTCCTTCCCATTCCTTGTCCTATTCTCACCCCTTACACACACGTATACGCACCACACTACCACATATACGCCCGAAGGCCGCTCGGGAGCTTAGAGGTTTCCCGACGGGGGCGGTTGCTCGCTGGTAGGAGATACGAGGTCAAGGAATTCCCCGCTAGTCGACGTTACGGAGGGGCCAGATCCCGCCATCCAGCAGAGGAAGGCCATCACCACATCCAGAGGGAAAAATGCACTACACTTACGGTACTAATGATCTTATCAGTTGACGCACCAGGAATCACCAACTATAAGTTAATCAATCAGAAGCTTCTCGGCTGTCCAGGAGACGCAGCGTCCCAAGTATTAATCGCACAACTTTTCTTGAACGATGGCCTTGCTTTCACCTCTCTGGCACAATAAACAAAGGCAAACGCTCGCAGCAAATACTGATAACAAACATTGTTAACACATCGTCACTGACGCGAAATAGAAACTATTTTCTGTTGAGGACGAGAACTTTTGTTGGTGATTTTCTTCAAAACATGTAAAAAATGACTGAAGCAGGTGAAGATGTATCACAGGAGATACCCCGAACTCCTGATAAAGTTAGAACGCAAATTATTGAGAAGATTGCGAATGCATGGCTGATTCTCCAGAGATTGGCATTGCTTCATAAAATCTAGTGGCCGATTTCGTAACTAATACCCCCACTCTACCCGCATTTCTTCAAATCATCGTTCAAGAAAACTTGCGCGAGTAATACACGTGCCAACGCAACGTTTCGGCCGCCATTCAGCGATCTTCCTCAGGGAGAAATACCATGTAATTGAATCAGTATTGAAGCTGTTTACAGACGACAAAACGTTATGGCGTGGTAATAATCGGCAAAGAAAAAGAATTGTCCACCAGTAGAACAAACAATTAGCTTTGAGCTCGTAATACAAGGGGGCATTAAAAAAATGACACTTCGAATATTCAATATGGTGGGCAGTTCGAGAGTCACATCGGTGTGGCATACAACTGCTTTGGCTAATGAACAATGTAAAACAAGAATTAGCTGTGCACTCATTCCCCAATGGCATAGTCACATTCAAAATATTGTCGACATATTCCAAATGTCCATTGTAACGCCGACACCTACAGGTCCTCATACTTGCGTTTCCCTTATAACACTGGCTAACTTCTCAAAAAGTGTTAACTTTGAACTATCATACGTGTTTTTTCTTGCTGGCTCCCGGCCTAACACTATCTACAGGGCCATAACCGACAGCAGCAAAGGTCTGTAACATATTGAAACTTTAATAAAATTGATACAACGGAGTAGGTGACTGGCAATATTTGATGTTTCCTCACTTACTATAGTACACTATGAAACGATGATGTAATGATTGTAATTAATACACGAATGTGATATTAAAATACGAGCGAGTATCGTAAACTTTACACGAGAGTATTAATACCCATTAAATCGAGTTTCATATGGTACTTTTTCTACATTTAAGGTTACTTTTAAACTATTACATAATAAGTTAAACTATTACATTGAATCGTTTCATAGCAGCTGAAATGCAAGATTCAGCCAAGGCTGCATAGCAGGCAACTCCCTATCCTACCTGCTCCAATTAGCTTTGGTTTGCCAGTCCGCCTGCGAGCGAGTACAAAAGTTGCTGCAATAATTCCGACCTCACCATTTTTGCTTTTTCTTATATTTCTGGATGTGTCAACTCCACCTCCGATTCACTAGACATCGTAAACTAAAGAATGGACCGGTTTTTAAGGGCAATCACACGGCAGCAACATGTAACACAAAATGGCTTGCGTTCTGATCTTAACGTACGTCAAATGTACGCTCCACAGCGCTATTCAAATGGGATCAAATTTAAATTACAATCCAATTTATTTTAAATAACATACCCCGTAAAATTACCATTAAAAGAAATTAATATAATATTAATTTTATAATATAATATTAAATATCATTTTAATATGAGCAATCGTAAGAAACATTTACTATAACGATTCTCCGTGATTAATTGTCAATACTTAGTTTGTAAGCTTCTCTGTGATTGATCAAGAACCTGTATTATAATGAAATCTGTATCGTAATGAGTATCATTATGCAACGGATAGCAGCCATCAAATGACTGAATTATAGAATGGGATTATAAAAGGGAAATTAAATAACCTTACCTCAAATCGAAAACGTACTAGACAGCCATCGTATTAGTACTTATCACTGTGTTTTCAATTATCTTTCCACGACAGACCCAACTTCATGAAGAGACACCAAGCGTTTTCTCGTGCATACGAATCAAATCCGTTTTTTGAAAGCGCAAATCATCCTGGAGGAGACCTCAAGGGATAAATCTAAAAAACCATCACATCATTTTGTCAGTACATTCGCTCCTCATCGCAAGGTCCTCAAACACCACAAGCGAGATATTTATTATATTGAGTACAATACTCATTACTGAGCGTAATTGAAGGAAAGACCATACACCATTATGCCTCCTTTTTTGGGCAAATGTGTGCAGTGGTGTGGTATCTTTGGCAAACGCAGAAGGTGAATGATTATGATCAAGAGAGGTGAATGGTGATAATAGATGAATCATTACGGATGGAATGGTGGCTTCAATGATTTGTGGTGGCTCGAGAAGCCAACTACGTCACAATCACCAACTGAAAACGGCTATGCCCAACTGCGCGCTGTTCCAAGGGCCGACACCGAGGCCGACAATAATTGTAATAAAAGTATTACTTGAATAATTTTTAGGAAAACGAAACGCATTAAATTAAATTTTGAATTTGTTTGTTAGACGTTGTTTCATATCTATGATCACTGGACAATTTGGGAATCATGATCATGTAACATAGCACCGAATGCGTACGCAAGAAATCATCCACATGTTTATCACGTTCTAAGTAGACTGATTACTCATAAAGTAATAGTGGAAGAACGTAATAAACTAGAAGAATAATTGAACTAAATATTCACTAGGTTTTAATATAGTTGCGCCCTAAAACCATTGGATGAATTTCAGAAAAAATTGGTCAAGGTAATTTTTTTAAAAAAATTCAATACTCTTCAGAACTTCTGTACAAAAAACTCGTATTATAACTATTTTATCTAGAAAAAGTACTTGAAACAAACTACGAGAAGATTCATAAAGAGTGTGAAAGTTTGAGAAATGGGAGAAGTCTGGCGTTAGTTACTCCTAGTATATTAATGAAGAACTAACTAAAGGATCCTATAAAATAATATGTAGGAAGGTATTTAATAACATTAAAACCGAATTGAAAAATCTAGATTTAAACAGGCATAAACATCAAATAAAATTCAGAAAATGGTGAATTGATACGGAAGAAACTGACATTAAAGTCAATCTCCATGTAAACAGTTATTTTTAGTTTTAGAAATTTAATTGGGTATGTTCTTATGCAATTTTATATTGAAAATATTACATTATTACTTTATCTTTAGTTTTGTTATTTTTTGTAATTTGTATTCTTTTTTAACATCTTCATAAAATTGCGTGAAATAATTTACATAGAATAAATAGTTTGTATTTAGCTACAGCTTCGCTCACAAGGAGAAATCCTTCCCTTAATAATGTATAGTTGATAAATTATTTTGTAAATTTTACAACTTTTTAAATAAATAAATGATCAGAATTATAATTCAATTCATATGTAGTAGAATTGAATGACATGAACACGAGAGTACACCAAGGGTACCGAAAAATTTTCTAACAATACAATAAAATACTATTAATAATAGGAGTTGTATTATTTTTCATTAAAATGGCTTCAAAAACAAGAGACCTGGCCTGAACAGCTGTAACAAAAGCCACAGCTGAGAAAGTGGGCGGCCGCCAACTCACCGACGCGGCGCCCTGTAGGATGCGGACGGCGAGGAAGGCGGCGAGGTGGCGCGCGGCGGCGGCGGGCAGCGCGAGGCCCAGCAGCGCCGTCAGCAGCACGGCGCCGCCCACCAGCCCGCGCGCGCCCGCCCGCCGCGCCAGCAGCCCGCCGGCCAGCTGCGTCGCCACGTAGCCGTAGTAGTACGACGACAGCGCCACGCCCTCCTGCCACACAGCGGCGCGGCCCCGGCAATTTTGACTATTGTCGCCTTACGCATTCTTCGTAAGAAGAGAAAGTGATGTAATCGTGCGCCAGAAAACGCCGAAATTTCGCCAGAAAAAAAAACAAACCTTGTTGGTTTTAATTTACATTTTCCTTTATAGCGAGACAAGCGCTTTAAAAGAGTAATAAGAACTGCCTGCAACTGAGCATCACGCGTAGAACTAAGAGTCACAAACTGGAGGGCGAGGATACTCCCACTAGAGACCTCAATAATCAAAGGTTATTTTATTCTATCAAAATGGGAAAATAGGGTAGAGATTAGAAAAAAAAGTTATTGAAAGTTAAGAAAAAAGTTACAGGAAGTAATTTGAGAAATCATGCGTTTCTCTTTCGGGCGCTTTAAACTTATTCTTTGGGAATCTAGATTTGATTCGTCGGCGTTGGTTATATGTTTTTCCAAGGTAGAATACGGAAGTTGCAGGGGAGGATGGTAAGGAAAGAAAAGCATTATTTGATAGGTGACTGATATAATGATCAATCGCGTGAAAAACACACTCTCTGTTGATTTGCTTGTTTGATACGTACCAAGGCGCTTTGGCGGCAGTGTGAAGGATTTTATTTGGAAATGTTTGGAGCGTTTTACGTTCCAACAAAATGAGCTCACTCATAGACGCTCGTCGCGTGTTACTGGGCCGCCTTACCGTAGCGGCTCTTCACTTCCATGACGGAGGAGTCAGGCTAGAAATTCCTTTCGTGGGCTGCAATAGTGACACAACTCAAAAACTCGGGTTTTGAGGTAAATAAGTTTCGAGTTTTCACGTTGTATTGAAATGCATTGTTCTTGCATTAATGTCCTGTCCCATGGCTCGACAGCTCGCCACGGGCCTTGGACGATCAGCGGTGACCTAGCCTCTTGGGGCGGGCTTCCTCTCGTCACGTCACGTCACGTCACAATAGATGCAGGGACATTTGTAAAGAAAGCGCACAGTAATTACTTTGACCCGCCCGGGAATGCGATCCCGGGGTTGCGCCGTGGAAAGCGAGCACGCTAGCCAACGAATCACCGGGGGCCTCTTGTATTCATACTTCTGCCATTTGATGGTGGAATACTGTACTGTAAGATATGCTGTTGTTTCTGCTGGAAGGTACACTAATCTGAAATCCTGAAGAGTGCATTAACTGAAAATTTGTATTTTTTGGGTGTGCCACTATTGAAGGCCACGAGCAGTTAAAAAGTACGTAACTCAGAGGCCAAATTGCTCCTTTGATAGAAAAGGAACACAAGTTAAAAATTTAGTTTTTGAGATAAGTGAAAATTGACCTCAAAATAATACAATTACATGGAAAACGTACGCAATTATGCTTTAACAATTTTACAACTAAGGAGGAAAGGGTCGCTTTACAATTTTCTTAGATCACAATTATATTGAATTTTAGTTATGGAAACCATGCAGTTGTGAGTTTCGTTTACGATGATTCTTTCAAGACAAAGGACGAATATAGGTTTTGGGGAGAACAAATCGGTATAGCAGGTCCCAACACTGCATTTCCATCAAAATATCGACCTCGATATTTTTCAGTACTATTATTGCAGTTGTTCTCACTTTCAAATATAATTTATGAGTTTTCGAGAAACGTTTCAAGACATACTTTAAGGCAATTGTGCTCACAAATGGACCAAAAAATTACATTTGTGTTATGATCTTTATGTCATCTTATACAGTACATTTAGCAGTATCCGTACAAAAATATTGAAGAAAAAAATTGAAGCCGTTTTTTAGAAAATTTTTTTAAAATAATTTTAATATTGCCAATATTTTACTAAAAATTTCTCGAAAACTTTTGCAATTTTCAGAAAATTGCATATGAAATGGTAAAATAATTAATTATGGAGAACAAATTTCGTATTTAAATTACCTTTTACTTCATTATTGTTGTCGGAAGACGCAAAAAAAACTGTTGTAATTTTCAAAAATTCAGCGTTCATATTTGGTCAAAACTGTATAAAAAATAAATGAAAGATCTACTGTTGAGGAATGTAAGGCCATAAATATCTAGCCTCGATATTAAAGTTGTAGGAAGGGTTGGACAAAAATTGAATAATACAGAAGTTTTACATAAATCCAAAACATGTAGCTGATTTGTCCCTGTAAATAGTTTTTATTATGCTGGAGCTAATATTTTCTTATCAATTCTTTCCAAAACGTTCTTTTTTACATGTATTCATAATTTCAGTTAATATGTAGACCTAAATAAGTTATGAAAGATCCCAGAGGTCAACAACTCTTTGCACTTATTCCCATAGCACTTCACAGAGTTTTTAAACGTTTTTGACGCTAAAAAATAAATACCTAAATACATGGAAGCACGCGTTTCGTTATGAAGCTCATACCACCCGGATGGCAGCGCTAATAATCTGCTGGCGTTCGTCGTAGATACAGAAACAACGGTAAAGGAAAAGGATATTCAAGGAATTTGCGAAGCCTGAATAATTAATTAGTTTTAAGACAGCCTACAGTTCATAATGACAAGACATTTGTGAATAGTACTTACCTGTATCTGGGTCCAATTTAAGCACTTCGGATTATTTTTATGTTCATTACATGTCATATCTGGAAGGACCTCTGACACATTCACTTTCATGGAATACTGCAAAGTCACTGCCGCAAAAGACAAAGCAGCTAGAATATAACGAGTTGGGATGAAACATTCTGAAACAAAAATACTTACTAGCATTTTAACAGGGGTTCATATAAATTACGTTTGTAAATTACTTTAACTTCAAAGCACGCAAAATGCAATTTGCAGTATATTTAGATTTACAAATGCAAAACAAAACTTATTTAACCTAGAAACTTTGTGAAAATATAACATAATAATAATTTTGTTTTAATTACTTTTTTTAAATTTTAAATGTTAATTTGTTTAATAACGATTTTTAAAACTATTTTGTTTTGTATGGAATGGTTATGCAAGATACCTTAAAAAATTCCACAATTAATGTCCTGTAACTTTCCATAAAATTCACTGGACTACTAGGCTGTGCGGGAGACGTCGCACAAATAACCGAAGGTAGCACCTGTAGCAAGGACGCGGCGTCTCCTGAACAACCAAGTAGTTACTGGCTACGGGCGCGGAAGTCTACATCTCATTCAATAATGCACATTAATATAAGGAATGGACACTACACTTAACAAATAATCCAAATTACAAATTTTCACTGCAGAAATTTATATATATATATATATATATATATATATATATATATATATATATATATATATATATATATACACGTGTGTGTGTATGTATATGTGTATATAATGCTAATTTCCAAGGCGCGCAGAAATTGGAAGAAAATTATGCCACCTTCGGCCGAATGAGAGATCTCTACAGTTTCGTTATATACCCAGGAATACGGGAAAATACAAAAACAATGGAAATGATTCGATTTTGTCTCAACAATGTAATATCATAGCCTTTTGATTATGTCGTGTTTTCGGGCGCGTCAATAGCTAGGGTCATTGGTCTCGTAAGTGAAGTGCATGATTTTAACATGGGAAATGGTTATATTCTCTGGCTGGATGACGATATCCGTCACCGACCAACACGTCGGCTAGCCGAATTTTCCCCCATCCAGCTATCACCCACCAGCGTAGCGCCGCCCCAGCCGGGATAAGCTCCAATCTTCGACTGGTCTCCCGACAAGTGTGACAGTGTATTGCATGTAAATGTAAGAGTGTAAGTAAGGGGTGGGGACGAAACAATGAATGAGAGGGAAAGATCACGCGCGGTCCGTGGCCCGTTTGTTAGGGCACTTTTCCGGCATTCTCCTGGTATTGATCGGAGAAACTACGTAAAACTACCAATCGAAGCAGCCGGCCGCGATAATTCTTCTCCGCACACCAAACATTTGATCGTGTTATTCTGCCTACTCTCATACTGCACCACCCGTCTGAATTTTTTACACTCAATGCATCACTGCTTACGACACAGCTGGCTCCATGCGTCAGAAAGGTTCCCGGAAAGAGGCCGCCCGTCATTCAATTTTTTCTATTTATGCGTTACGGAAAAGCAACTATTTTTTATATTCTTGGTGTATACAGAGCTGTTGCACTGTGCATGTATTAGGTATACTATCTTTTTGCGCATTCAGGAAGTCTATCTTTGTTAAAGTATTTAGTTTCTTCCTGTGATGTATGAGAGTTTTCATTTGTTGTTCTTGAGCAGTATGCATGCTACTTTTTGGAAAAACATTTTGTGTGCATTTGTTCAGCAGCATTTTTGCTGCTGCAGGCCACTAATATTTTCTGTGATCATTGCAATTGACCATTAAAAATTTACACTCTTGTGTAACTGTTTTAGAGATCAAATGTAAATAGCACATTTAAAACACTCAAGCCTCTACTTTTAATTTACTTAATTTCAAAGGTGAATAATTATGACATAAAAATCAAAATATCAAACATGCTTCCTGATCAAAACAATTTCGAATTATTTTGAAATTGATTTTTTCCATCCTTACAGATGTCAACAAATATTCATTAATATGCTTCGAAGATCAATAACATAATTTTTATTACTTACTGTAAAGTTTTCCAACACACACGGTCATGATGTAAATTACTGAAGAGCAGTATAATTTATGATATGATAACCACAGTGTCTCAGCATATTATACTGCTACGTTCATTGATGTCATTTCTTTCTGTGAATATTGCTCGTGAAGTATGTTAATATGTCAGATAAGATATCAATGGCAGTTATGTTCATTGTGACTAAAATTAGAGTCAATTTAGCTGTATGGAAACCTGGTGGGTGACTGACCATCTGGCAATTCCGGTAAACATCACAAGACCTTATCATTTTTCTTCCGTTATTTGTATTGGCGGTTGTAAAAATCACTTGGGAACTTTACATTTCTTTTCTGTTTAATTGTTTATTTTCCATTACATACATTTCTACTTACATTATGTTCTTGGAAATCCTTTTGTTTGTTCTCGAACATTCATTCCTGTTTGAGACATCATCTATGTTTGATTATTATACTAGAAATAAATAATTACGTGAAGGGAATAAAATTCCTAATGTTTCTTTCTCACCAACACAATATTAAGTTTTTCAGGACAAAATATTTTGTTAACATATAAAATATTTATTCTTTTGTAATGTTTTTGTGTTCTTGAGCATAATCAATAACAACTGGAGAGATCCAAAAATATTTTGGATGCAAATCATGCTTACTGACCTTTCTTTCTGGACAACCTGATATTTTTATAAGAACTTTTCAACCTATGCCTGCAAATCTAACATAAAATCAATAGGAATTCCTTTAAAGGAAGGTCTACTAGACAAAAATTTTAAGTGTCTTAAAGTATCCATCTTCTGATACGATATTTTGAAAATTGTTTGAACATACAAAATGTTTGTATCAATTTTATATTTTGTAGCATTTTTTACATTTATTTCAGTTAACCTTTTTCCTCTAAAATTGGCAATTCTATTTAATTTATTATTTTCATAAATCCATTTCTGAAATCTAGCGCAGGCTTTCTTCAAAGAAAGGGTGCTTGTTGTATCTAGAGATAACAACATAGTGCATATAATAGTTCTAATATGAGCCCCCAAGTCTATTCATTTTAACTTCTAGATTCAATGCGTTAATTAATGAAGATGAAAAAGTGGCGTAGTCAATTAGTAGTACATATTGCGCGCTTTCCAACAAAAATGTACATTTTTCCCCATGGTCGACAGCGATTGAAAACAGTATTTGGCAAGCATCGACTTTAACTTCGAGTGTGGCCGCGAAGTCTGCGTGACCGTGCGTGACTTTCCGGCTAGTTAGTAAATTTGAAAATATGCCTCCCAAAAAGGGAGGAGGAGGTTCCAAGGGCGGAAAAGCTGATGGAGGAAAAAGCAAGGGAGATGATGATAGTAAAGCGAGTGCCGGAAAAGAAAAGAAAGGTGGAACAGCTGTTAAGGTAAAAATAACTAGTCTTTGAGGTTAGGGAGATACTTGAATGAGACTAGAATAAGAAAGAAAAATGAGCTCTCTCAGGTATTAGTAATTTAAATAATCTTTTGTTGTAGGTTCGGCACATTCTTTGCGAAAAGCAATCAAAAGCATTGGAAGCTTTGGAAAAATTGAAAGGAGGCATGAAATTTCCTGAAGTTGCAGCACAATATAGTGAAGATAAAGCCAGACAAGGGGTAAATATATTTATATAGTACTGAATCATTACTTCAGCATTGAGTAAATGCATCAGAATGTAAATAAGAATTTCATAATCACATTTTTCAGGGAGATCTAGGTTGGATGACAAGAGGCTCAATGGTGGGTCCTTTTCAAGATGCTGCATTTGCTTTACCAACTTCCAATGTCAACAGTCCTGTCTATACAGATCCACCTGTAAAAACCAAGTTTGGATATCACATTATTATGGTTGAAGGAAAGAAATAAAAGACTTAATATGAAATTCCTAATGTAAATATACCTTGGAGTTCTTTGTATGTTTCTAATAATTTGTATTACAAAACAAATTATACATGACTGTACATATAAAAAATAAACTCTAACTCATTATATATGTTCTGTTTGTATTTCAAGGTTGTTTACTACTTCCTTTCCATTATTTCAATTGGTTTATTTGTAAAACCATGAAGCAAATATTCCTACTTAGATTTAATTTGTGTCAACAATATACAGCTGTCATCTAAAAACATTGTTATCAGCTTATGCATGCCAGCAATTAGCTCCTATCAGCACAGGCCATTAAGTTATTCTAATAGCTTTTACCAGGAAAGCTGCTGTCAGGTGATGCTGCATGCAGATGTGTTGGCTGGCCTCCCTTATTCATTTTTGAATTCAAAAATGAGGTGGTTATGTGTGTGGATCTTTTCATTGTTTATTCCAACATTATTAGTAGGTGATAACCTTAATCTGCTGCAAGAGAATTATGAGCAGCCATGTGAGAACTGTGAGTATTATAATTATCATCATGTTTATGTAGGGTGTAAACAACTGTTTTAATATTGTGTATTACATATTTTGAAATGGTTTCTAAAGCAACAAATATGAACACATTTCTTAAGTTTACAAAGAAACTACATTAATCTTTGATAATCACTTATTAATATTGGTATTTTTTTCTTCTGATTCAATTTCATGTTATTAATCCAATAATTAACTTGGTCACTAGCTAAGAAACTGTATTGAATGTAGTTTGTTCCATTATGTAGTTTTTAAAGAACAAAATAAATTTCCTCAGAATTACTCAATTTTTGTTGTAGAATTACTTGCAAAAATATTTTTTTTAAAGTAGTCTAGAAGAAGAATGGCTTTGACTGTGTGTAAAGGTGAATTAAGCTGCACACAGGATTGTTTTGGAAATATTGGGAATGTAATCATGCAGAAAATATTTTTTTTAATAATTTTTCTCTGTTGAGAGAAAATTTTCTTTCACTTCCTCTTGTTTATTTTATTTATTTACTTATTTTCAAAAAAATGTTAAAATCTGTTTTACAACGTATTGCTTAAAAATGTAAGTCATATTTTGATATGCAGAATTATTTAACAAAACACTTGAGCTTTTATCAAAGCAAAGATCATGATCAATACATTACTAAGAGGCTGTTTGCTTTTGTTTTCCATTTTGGCTTTAATTGAAAGTGGACCAATTATAAAATGTTTGAAATGAAACAAATTTATTTTTTTCCATATATTTCAATTTAAAAAAAATGTTCATATACCCTTCAACATGCTAATTTCTTCAATTATTATTTTATTATTTTGCAAAATGATGGTACATAACGTTTTTCAAGTAACAGCTTTCATATTTCAGCTGTTTAATTTTCCATATGTTACTTTTTCCCCCCTTCAAACTAAGTCCCATAAAAGCCAATTCTACTTGGCATGGCCCATGTTTTCTTTGCTCACTAAAGCACAATAATAATTACGGTAAAAATAACATTGTAAATTCAACATAGAAGGCGGATGGAACTTTATCAGTAAATCGGGTAGAAGAAGACGATACGTAATAAGTATTCATAAATTTTTAACTTGAAACTACATACCTCAAATGTAAATCATCTCTCACAATTCTCCTTTCTCTTGTATCAAGAAACCCTGTAGTAGAGCAGGTCACCAATCTGGAGACACTATCAACTGCTATTATCCAGTAAGAAGGGCAGGGTGGGGAAGACTGGAAACTACTGGCAAATCGCTGGGACAATGTTCATAGAAGTCTGTTCAATGATTCAATCTAATTGTAAATTAAGCTGCGGATTATGGCAACGAGACTTAGAAATTTGCTTCTGATTCGAATTCTATCTGCTTCACAGTGGTGAATGGCAGATCCGGGAGGGGTGGGGAGGGAAGGGGTGCGCCATGTCTCAACCCCCCCCCGGCCAACACATTTTTTTTGTTCTTTTTGTAATGTTACTCAGTTTATTGTAGATAATTACCATATCATATATAAACTAGTGAACTAAACCTCATCATATCCAAACTAGTATTCCCATTCTTACATTTTTTTTTATTTTAGCCTAATAATAAAAAAAAATATTTAAGGGGGTCTGAACTCATAATGACCTCTAATAAAATACTTTCTGGATTCGCACTTGCTACTTCAGGGAAATCATGGACGATTTAAAGTAGATAAATGTTTCCTTGGATTCTATTCGTTTATAAATACGAAGTCTGAGGCGTTATTCCATACAATTATAGATGTTCTTCACAGTTTCATCTTACCGGTCACTGACAGCTGATGTCGTTTGGCAGAGCTAATCTGAATTAGGGAGAGGAGTGGAACCACGCACTCCGTTGTCTTCATTCATTACGAGGCTCCATCTGAATGTCACTGTTCAAGAATAAATAAAGCAAATTAGCGAATGCCGCAACGTTCGATGCCCGGTTCGAGAAATAACTTATTTTCGCCAGGAACTCTCGGAGGTTTAACATCTTTATGTTGACGTTGTACATTGCCTGAGCCATCATTGCCGATGTCTCTGCAGCGAATCTAACCGGGAGGTCTTTGGGTTCGAGTTCGGACGCTGGCGGATTTTCTACCCTAGGTCAAATTCAGAAGAAGAAAAAAAAGCGTTTGGAGAAGAATTCTAGCGGCCGGCTGATCTGATTTCCCATGGGTTCTCCGATCAATATCAGGTGAACGCCGGGGCAGTAGCTCCACAAATGGGCCATGGACCGCGCGTGATCTTCCTTTTTTATCACTATGAATCAGCATTGTAGAGGCGTTTGTTATATTTCATTATATAACATTATTCTAGTTTCTGTTACTTGTGTCACGCTCTCGTTATGCACATGCAATCAGGGAAAGAGCTCTAGAAGAGTGGGTGAGCATTGATTCCAGGTGCGTCACGTTCCTTGGTCATTAGTCCCGTAAGTATAGGTATTGAACCCGTGCGATTATATCGCAAAGAGTTGCGACGGACTGCATACCCAGGAATATACATTATCTTTTATATTTATCAAGATCTTTACGTGTATATACATATGTATTTTTTGGCATTATATCAGCAAAGCCTGCAATCTTCCCTTAGTTTAATAAATGTAACAAAATGTATGAAATACAATTTCCAAATAATAATCAGAACTCCCTCACCTCTTTGATATTTTCCATAGATATCTCAAGAATGATATATAAGAAAGTACTTTGACTACTTTCAATTAGTAGTCACAAAACAATCGTTTTAACGATCACATAACACCTTGTTCTCCAAGCAACATCAACTGCTCTTACATTTCCCGCCAATGCACATGATGTCATCTTCCCGTTCCTATTCTAGCCGCGCATTTCAAACAAATTTCGTAGCTTAGGAAAATTGTGATCTATTCAATATATAGTGACCTCCAATCTTGATTCTCTCTCTTTTCTATGCGGAGGGGGAGGTACCTCTCTTGTTTAAAATCGTTCACTGGGAGCCGAATAGGACGGACATCAAAATCGTTCTCTTTACAGATTTAATAAACAGTTTATGATGTATCTTATACCCTGCGAGAGGTGACGTTCCCCCACATCTGGAACGTTAGATCTGACCTCGATCTACACGTTGGCTTGTGAGATTTCCTCCTCCAAGTACGTCCTCCAGCAGAGCACTGCCCCTGTCGGGTCAAATTTTAATCTCTGGCATCCCGACTACCCAGTCTGGTAATGTAGTGCACGTAAGTGTATTAGTAGGGTTGTATGTGTAAGGGGAGAGGAGGGAACAATGTTGAGGAAGGAAAAATCGCGTGCTGTACGCTGTCCGCTTGATAGATTGCTGCTCGGACATTCACCTGTTGTTCTTCGGGGAAGACTCGGAAAACTATTAATCAGAGCAGCCGGTCATTATAATTGGTTGGTGTTTGAATTCGACTTCGCTATGCGGCTAGTGTCGAAAATTCTTCACTGGTGGGACTCGAACCTTAGATCCGCCAGCTGCGGAGACAACGTTGGCGCTGAACTTACAGCAACCGGGGGCACGTGGAAAAGGAAGTCTGCGGGCGGTGCTTGTGCGCAGGGTCGGTGCACGCGCGCTTCGACGGGCGCGTGTACTTCTTCTCGTGGGCGGAGCAGGGCCCCGGCGAGGCGGCGCAAGCGCCTGCGCTGTCCTGGGCCGACGCCGCCGCCGCTTGCCGCCGCCGCTGCATGGAGCTGGTCAGCCTGGAGACGGCGGCGGAGAACGACTTCGTGAAACACCGCCTGGCTGCCGGTGAGATTCTGAATGCGCCTTCCTCGGTTCCATTTAATGCATTTAAATTGAGCTACTGTCTTGGGGGCTTACTAACTAACCTTATACCCTATACTTACAATTCCATTTAATTCCAGTCTTATATCTACTACATAATTATACATATATACGTATTTACATTGGTTAATAGACGCGAAACATTAAAAAAATACACTAACACACAAAGCCTATCAGAATGCCGAGATCGCTAAGGCAGTAATGTCATAACGGTCTCGGACCAGAAGATTGCGGGTACGAGTCCCGCCTCGGGCAATGGTATGTTTGTGTGTGTCGTCCTTTCACCCCTCACTATCATCATCATTCCGTCTTCCATACCTGCCATGATGAAGTACATGTACCTGCCAACGAGATAATGTTACTGAGCCCCGGTAAATGAAGGGTCCATGCACGTGTGATCTACCTCGGCCTATTCACGAACCCAAAAACAACACTTGACAAAACATAGATACTAAATTTAAATTGACTGTTTCTTTTGAGCTATGCTCTTGAAAACAGCCATGCAAATAATTTAATTAATTGACAGATACCGTTGAAGGCATGCCAATAAAAACTGTAGTCACTAAATTCTGGTATGTCTTGAACCATATTTTGTATATAGACGAAGGGATTCTGAAGCTTGGCTCAATGGCTCTTGGATCAATGGCATCTGTGGCAGTTTTGAATCACCGCTTGTTGCCTGCCGACAATTCAGTCCGCATACCACAGCCTTCCAGGCACGGGCCTTTCTAGCGGCTGAGCACAAAAAGTAAAAAAATGTGTCAGAAAGAAAAATAATGATCTCCCGAAGTGATAGATGAACGGATCCTCCTCGAGTCTGTATTTTCAGGTCTAACGAAGAGAGTCAATAAAAACCTGTTTGCAAACACTACTGCTCTCACCGCCGCCGCCATCATCTCCGTAGCTGTCACTATAGAAGCCATGAGCATTCAAACTTTCCTCAGTTCCTGGAAAAACCCGTTGATCATTTTGGCAAAATTCTTTCAAGACTTCATTTTTTCAAACAATTTTTTATACAGAAACCAAACTGCAAAATTTAGCAAACAAAAACAATAGCTGACTAGGGAGCATTGATTGACACTAGGGTATTCATAAAGTCATAATCAAAATAGAAAATTTAGTGTTTTTATAATAAAAGTCCGTGGATTGTTTCAAAGTTGCGAGTGAGGATTTGCGGACGGAAAAATCTTGAAAGTTCACCGGCCCTCTCTCCTTCACGCTTTCGAGCAAAAATGCACGCTTTTATTTGATGAGCGACTTCGGAGTTTTAGCTTACGCGCACAAGCGCAGTATTGCTTCTGTTCTGGGTTTCAGGAATCAGAAGCCACACTGATTCCACCACTTTCCAAACCCCCGCATGAAATTAAACCCGTCCAATGAAAGCGTGAAAAGAAAGGGGGTCTGAAAGCGCCTTGCTGGGCGGCGCGTGCGTTGCGCAGGCGGGCAGAAGTTCGCGTGGACGAGCGGCCGCAAATGCAACTTCGCCGGCTGCGAGCGCCCCGACCTGCAGCCCGCCAGCGTCGTGGGGTGGTTCTGGGCCGGCAGCCGCCGCCGCCTGCCGCCCACTACCGACCGCGCCACCTCCGACTGGAGCCACACCGGCGGGTACGGCTTCCGCTGCAGCGAGCGACGGCTCAATAATTGATTGTTTAGTGATTCTGGGCGCTGCAACTGCTAAGGCCGTTGGTCTCGTAAGTGTGGTGCATGCTTTCACCGCAGGAGGTGGCGGCGATCGTCCCCCGCTGAATGGTGGGACTCGTCGCCGACTTACACGTCGACTAGCAAGGTTTCCCCTACCCAGGTATCTCCCACCAGCGTGGCACCACCCCAAACGGGACAAGCTCTAAAATTCCGACTGGCCTCCCGACTTGTGTGGTAGTGTAGAAAAAATCATGTACAAAAGAAATACATTTTTTAGAATAGGAGTACTCATCTACGTCGTCAGCTTCAAAATCATTTCGTTCGTAACGAATGACGAACTGTAAAAATCTATCCCAGACGTCATTCATTACGAGGCTTTTTACTTTCCCGTATATCTACGTATACAAGGAGTAACATACGTAGTATAGGGAAAGTTATGTAATGCTGCGGAAAATCGATTTCTAGATTTCAACGGAAATACTTGTTTTGTGGTCCCCTGATACCAAAAAAGTTTTTTAAACGTCCGTCTGTGAACACTAGCACCTAAACCATACGTAGGATTTTTATCAAATTGAAGGAATCTCTAACCATCTGGCTCGAGTCGAATCTTTGAGATTTTGAAAAAAAAAACTTCAAAAATTTTTGAACTTTACTTGGAGACCCCTGGACATTTTCAAAATTTTCTCAGAAACAGATTCAAATTTTTTCTTTATATTTCTTTTAAGAGTGGACTAAAATACACCTATAAAGATGGCATAGGTCCGATATTCATCGTTAACTACGGAAAAATTAGAACGGGATATTCAATAATCAGAAGCAATGCTGGACGATGCAGCACTAAAATCACGATTGGGTACGAGAAACATCTCCTATCAGATATTACAAATCTTTTGAGGGCTTATTGAATACCAAGCGTGAAGTTGGCACTGTTACGTTGATGTTCACATATAGAATCAGTGTAAAATTGAGTAAAAATGTATTCATTCTCTTTGTTTCGTGACTGTGGAAACTTAGCAGTGTGAGTTAACAGCAATAAGATACAATAAGCATGGCAATCTTTTTATTTTATATTCAAAAAATAGTTTCATAAAACTAAACCAAGGTACTAATGAAAACAAGAAAAAACAACAACATTGAAATGGAGCATAAAAAGTCTTTGGACACCTGTCAATAAAGCGAGCGTTGCGTTATAGAAAATTGGCATGTAAGCGGCTTACGTCATTCTTCAATGATTTCTCCACCGTCACCCGTTCTCCTTCGTTGTCTGTGAGTCGTCTTGTGAGCTCTGCAGAGATAGAATCACTGTGGGGAATCGGAGAAGGTTCCGTGGAGCGAATTTATTGTTGAGGAATGCAAAGGGGTAATTCAATTACACAATAACTGCAAATCGTTACTGGAGATTTCTCGTCGGAATGAAATAAAGATAAGAACGGCACATGTCATT